AACCACTGGATTGTCTAAAAGCATAGCCTGAACTTGAATTGACTTTCTGGGAACTAGCCAAAGTCTGAATCTGGTATGGAGTTCATATAGTGATCGGCTTACCAAATGTTAACTTCTCAGCTTTCTTTGGCCAGGTTGTAGTAACTGCTACTTCTGGGAGGCAAGGAAGCCGCCTCTTAGCAGTTTGATCTAATTGTTTAGAAACATCAGCAACTACGTGAGGAAGGGGTCCCCAGTTTTTGAGCAAATACCCCAAAGATGATTCCCTTTATCTTATGAATGTAAAGGTCAAAGAGTTTAGCTAAATTTTGGAGACCCAGAACGGGAGCCTGAAGTAATTGCATTTTCAGTTCTTGAAAGGTCTTTTCACATTCTGAAATGCTTTCAAAAAGATCATCATCCTTTCTTTTTAATTTTTCATAGAGTCCCAGCTATTAGACCACAGTTAGGAATCTAGACATGGCAAAACCCAGCCATCCCCAAACAAACCCCTAAGCTGTCTTCTAGTTTTAGGAGGGGCAAGGCTGCCAATGCTTTCTACACTTCTCTTACCTTCTGTAAGAATGAAGCCTAGGTAGGTCACCCTAGTGTGTGGTATTTGAGCCTTTTTCTTGGATACCTTATATCCTTTATCCCCCAGGTGGTTCAGGGTGGTTACAGTATTTTCATCAGAGGCCTCTTCAGTAGGGCTGATGATCAGAATTTTGTCTACATTGGAGGAGGGTTCCCTCCACCAGGTATAGATCTTTTAAGTCCTTAGTTAAAGTCCACCCAAAGATGGTGGAGGAATTTTTGACCCTTTAAGGCAGGACTGCCCAGCAGTATTATTGTTTTCAATACATGTAAAGCATCTTTTAAATCTGATACAGATAGTAAAGTTGCAGGATATAAAATTAACACACAGAAATCCCTTGCATTCCTATACACTAACAATGAGAAAACAGAAAGAGAAATTAAGGAAACAATACCATTCACCATTGCAACAAAAAGAATAAAATACTTAGGAGTATATCTACCTAAAGAAACAAAAGACCTATACATAGAAAACTATAAAACACTGATGAAAGAAATCAAAGAGGACACAAA